AGGTCTCACCAAGTTGCCCAGGCTGGTCTTCTCACCTTGGGCTCCCAAAGTGCTGGAATTACAGGCTTGAGCCACCCCGCCCAGCCAGCAGTTTCTAACATTGGGACTTTGAGAATCCCCCCTGTGGTGACTTGGGCACATAGTAGGTCCTCAGTGAACTGTATTGCATCTCCCCACTTCACCTTCTGCAAGACTGGTGCTTCTCCCTCCCATGGCTCAGGTTCTCAGCGTTGTGATCTGACATATGTCTTTTACTCTTCTCTAGCTCCTCTTATGTTTGGGGCTCTGCCTTTGGCTCCAGTGAGAAGCATTTGGCTTCTTAACTGGTGCCTCCTGATGGCTTTTACTCAGGGGAGGAACAAGAGGCAAGGTGCCACGGCCCCTCTTTGTGGGATGCTGTTTCTTCCCTTCTTTGTGTCTCTGGCTCTGTCCCTGGTGTTTGTCATCCTCCCCCCTGCTCCTTCTCTCTCTCTCTGCCTGCCCCTTTCCTCTCTGACTTCCTTTCTCTTCCCTCCCCCTGCAGTCCCCTGTTGCTGTCTGCCCACCTCTCCTCTGCCTTCCTGCTTGTTCTGCTTTCCCGTGTCTGACTCCCCACTCATGGCCTCTCTGCCTCTACTCCTGTGCTCTAGTCTCTCTGTCGTCTCCTGTCTCCTCACTGGGATATAGTAGGAGTGTCACGGGGTTGTTTTTTTCCTCCTCCTTTGCCTGTTAGAAGTCCCTCTGCTACACCCATACCATAAATAACACTCGAGCATCTGCCAAACACATTCCTCACTTGTGTTAATAGGCTGCAATGATGCTGGAGCCTGTTGCCGTGGCAACCTCATTTTTGTTTGACTGTATCCCACTCTGCTACATAAAGCTTCTGCACGCACTCACACAAAACAAGCATGCTCACACAACTATTACATATGCTTAGTTCTTAAAAATTATTTTGGAGAAAATGTCTTTGGTCCTGCAGGAACAGAGTGGTCATTTGAGCCCAAGGAGATGAGCATCTCTACGGTCTGGTGTTAATCTAGGAGGTGATAATGAATGGAAGAGCTCTTTGAAAAGTAGAGAATCCTGTTCAGATGTGGGGTATTATTATTACACAGCCACAATAAACCTGCCTGTTGTGGTCTCTGAGGAGAAGATTCTGACCTCGTGTGGGTCCCTGTGAGCTCGAGGGAGCCGTTGGGGTGGTTCTTGCAGTATGGGACAACCCGTTCTCCATCCTACCCTATCTTTCTCCAGCTCCTTTACGCCCTTCCTCTGCCCCCTTTTGGAGAAGCTTAGTGATTTCCTGCATTTCTTCCTTTGTGCCTGTTAGAACCTACAACTGTCACCAGTTGTTCCAATGATCAGAAAGACACAGGCGCTGTGTGGGTGAAGTTCTGTGACTATGAGCACATGTGAGTGTCTGTAGCGAGGAGGCAAGGGATGGATGGGGGTAGGGATGTGGACCAAGAATCGACTGCTGTGGCTGCCCAGGGGTGTGCACACGTGTGTGAGCATGCATGTGCATGTGTCTGTCTGTATGTCTGGCATGTAGGCTGGCCTGGATGGTGGAGGTGGACCCAGGGAAGCCTTTGTGTTAACTTTGAAAGGAGATCATTGCAGCTCTGTCCTGTTTATTCTTGGCTGGTAGTTGGCTTCCTGTAGCTGTTTGCCTTTGTGATTCTGGACCTCAGTCACTCTTCTGACCTTGACTTTTGGGTCCTCAAGGGAGTACCCTGGACTCCACTGACCCATGGAGTGCTCCCCTTCCCTTTCAAAAACCTTTCCTATTGCCTACCCACTCAGCAACCTGATGAGCCCTGCTGAAGAGCTGCCACCTTGCTGTGGAACTTGGCCTACTGGCCTGTCTTTGGGTCACTGTGGCCACCCTATGTATGCTGCTGAGCACTGTGGAAGAAGACACA